GACATGACGGAAGGAATAGACTCTGAGGTGTCCCTGTTTGCAGATGACGTGAAGTTGATGAGAAGAATTCACTCGATCGAAGACCAGGCAGAACTACAAAGGGACCTGGACAGGCTGCAGACCTGGTCCAGCAATTGGCTCCTGGAGTTCAATCCCACCAAGTGCAAAGTCATGAAGATTGGGGAAGGGCAAAGAATGCCGCAGACGGAGTACAGTCTAGGGGTCAGAGACTACAAACCTCACTCAAGGAAAAAGATCTTGGGTGAGTATAACACCAGGCACATCTCCTGAAGCGCACATCAACCAAATAACTGCTGCAGCATATGGGCGCCTAGCAAACCTCAGAACAGCATTCCGACATCTTAATAAGGAATCATTCAGGACCCTGTACACCGTGTACGTTAGGCCCATATTGGAGTATGCGGCACCAGTTTGGAACCCACACCTAGCCAAGCACGTGAAGAAACTAGAGAAAGTGCAAAGGTTTGCAACAAGACTAGTCCCAGAGCTAAGAGGTATGTCCTACGAGGAGGGGTTTAAAGGGAAATCAACCTGACGACACGGGAGGACAGGAGAATGGGGGACATGATAACGACATACAAAATACTGAGATGAATTGACAAGGTGGACAAAAAACAGGATGTTCCAGAGATTGGACACAGTAACAAGGGGACAGTTGGAAGCTGAAGACACAGATGAATCACAGGGATGTTAGGAAGTATTTCTTCAGCCACAGAGTGTCAGTAAGTGGAATAGTTTTGGAAGCGATGTAGTGGAGGCATGATCCATACATAGCTTTAAGCAGAGGTATGATAAAGCTCACGGCTCAGGGAGAGTGACCTAGTAGCGATCAGTGAAGAGGCGGGGCCAGGAGCTCGGAGATCGACCCCCGCAACCTCAACTAGGTGAGTACACACACACACACACACACACAGTCAGTCAGCAGACGTGGGTCACAAGGCCCGAGAACTTTAGGGGTTTTTTAAGTGTGCAGAAAACTGCTAGAAAGAAATCATGGTATTGACAACGCCAGTAAAAACAATCCTTCGAGTGAAAACCAAGTTATTATTAAAGAAAATCGGAGGAACCCTGAAATCTTTAATTTTCAAAGTGTAAAATGTTTTGGCTATACCCTTCCCCTTTTGCAAACAAGATTAAAATATACAAAGATTCAATGAGTGTAAGGGGTTTAAAGAATTTCGAGAGTTGGTTAACAAGTGAAATTGGGGCCCCATCCCGTGAGAGTGAAAAATTTTAACGAAAAGTAAAAAGGAAAAAAATAAATATAAAAAAGGAAGGTGGCAGTGGGGCCGCTGAAACAGTAAAACGTCAAAACATTGTGTGACCTTTACATATAAAGTGAAACACCGAATTTTAAAGGTTTTCCAAAATAAGTAAATTTTGGTACTCAAACATAAGTGACATTGGGGGAAAGGGGGAAAGGGGATGCATGAGCATATACGGTTATAAAGTTTCACGGGTGAAAAAATTTTTTTCAAAAAGGGGATGGGAAGGGTTTTTGAAAAACGACGACAAAAGCATCAGCCTTTCGGGAAACTTTTCATGGGCATCACCCCAGCTTAAGTATCACTCACTGGGGGGGGTTTTTTGGGGGGGTTTTCTGAATCCTTGTCTTGCATCACGGTTAATACCGATCACTCACCCTGCAAAGTTTTTACCGAATTAGAGCGGGAAAATACATAGATAAGGTGAAGTTAGTGTTGCTAGCGGGGGAGCACCCCTACAGGGGAACCCCAAAATGGGGGGGAACGTCGGGCCCACCCCTAGAAGCTGAGACAAAAAAAATTTTACAACCTAATTATTTTCTTTGTTTTTAAGTAGAAGGAAAAAGGTGCTAGAACCACTTTTTGGAAATTTTTTTAAAAATACGGGTATTACTACTGATATTTATTAGCAGTAAAAATACTTAGAAGGGGGGCACACATACAAAACGCACACACACACCCACACACACCACACCCACACCACACACACCACACACACACACACACACTTGCCCCAAAACCACATGCACACACACAGGGCAAAAACCACACACACACACCACAAAAACACCACCACAACACCCCACACCACACACACACACCCCATACAGACACCCACAAACCCAAAAAAAAGGATTTCACCCCTTTCCTGTGAAGTGACCCCTACCCCTTTCCCTTTCCCCCCCCCTGCCTCTCCCCCTCCTTTTCCTCTTTTCCCCTCCCCTCTCTCTCCCCTCTCTCTTTTCCCCTCTCTCTCTCTCCCCTTTTCTCTCTTTTCCCCTCCCCTCTCTCTCTCTCTCTCTCCCCCCTTTTTCCCCATCCCCCTCTTCCTCTCCATCTTCTTCTCCCCTTCTCTTTTCCTCTCACTCTTTCTCCTTCCTCCTCTTCCTCTCTCCCCCCCTTCCCCTCCCCCCTCCCTCTCTCTCCCCCCCCCACTCTCTCTTCCTCTCTTTTCCTCTCTCCTTCCCCCTTCCCCTTTTCTCTCCCCTTTTCCTTGTCACTCCCCCCCCCTCTTCCCTTTTCCCCTCTCTTTTCCTTTCCCCCACCTTTTCCCCCCTTTCTACCCCCCCCCTTTTTCTCTCCCCCCCCCTCTCTCTCACCCCTTTTCCCCCTTTTTTTTTTTTTTTTCCACTTTCTTTTTTACTAAAAAAAAAAAAAAAATGGGGGGAAACCCCGCAGGAATAAAGGGTTTCAATGACAGTGGTACGGTAGGGGAATGGATGGGGGAGCAGTGGAAAAGGTTTAGAGCAAGAATGGGAGAGAAAATTAGGGGAGCTTTCTGAAAAAAAATGGAGAAAAGCCTCTGTAAAATGGGAAAAAGGGGTTGGAGAAGGGACAAAGAATTGGGGGGCACAAGTGGGGAAAACTGAGTACCGGGGTTAAAGGTCCTAAAATTTGGGGGTAAACGGGGCTGAAGAAAATCTCAGGGGTAGTAAACCAAGAAGAAAAACCATAAAAAGCTGAGGGGCGGAACAGGAAGGAAGGAGATAGGGAAATATGCAAAAGTCCTTTTTCACCTCAAAAAAAGGGGCCCCAGGGATTGGAAGGGAAGAGCAGAGGGAAATGCAGAGGGAGAGGGAGATAGGCCCGAATGCTGAGGCACAACCATGCTACCAAGACCCATTTGGAAAAATCAAGGGAAAAAATGACCACATACAGCCCGGGAAACCCAAAGGGGCACAGGGAGGGGAAAGGGGGAAGGGGGAAAAAGGGAAAAAATAAATGTTTTTTTCCAGGGTTCAGGGGGAAGGGGAAAAGGACCACACGGGAAGCCCGGCAGGAAAAAGAAAGGGGGATTTGAGAAAATCATCACGGAAATAGGGGGGGAAAGACATGGATGAGATTGAAAAATTTTCAGAGAATAGGGGGGTACTTGAAGGGGGGAAAAAAACCGCCCCAACCCAAAGCGGGATTCTCAGGACAGAAACAGTGGGAACGGGATCCTCCAAGAAAAACCAGGGTTTTGAGAAGCTGGGAAAAAGGTACAAGAAGGTTTTCCAAGACAAGCCCAGAAAACAAAAAGAGAAAACCGCGCTAAAGGGGAGAGGAAAAAAAAAACGAAAAGGAGTTTAGGAAAGGAGTTAAGGATGGAAAAAAGCAGATTCAGTCAGGGGCAGAAACAGAGCAGCAAGAAAAGCACAACAAAACTTTCCTCAAAAAACCCCCAAAACCCTATCACCCCCACCCCAACACAAAAATTACAACCCCTACCCACGCTTCCCCCCAAACCCCCCCAACCTTTAGAACCCCCACAGAATGCACCGGGTCCCCCACCCCCACGGGCCCCCCCAAAACCCCACAGGGGGAAAGGAAACTAAAGGTTTTGGTCCCACAAACGCTGTTTTAAATTTTAAAAAACAATTTGGATGGGTGGCACGAAAGAGTAAAAGAGGCATCCCCAAAAACTATAGCAATCACGGGAAACCAACTTACGGGTATGATAACGGGATGCCTTTTCCCCAAGGGTTTTTTACCAGATCCTGGGGAAAAAGACAAAAGGGAACGGGGGGGGGAAAAGGAGTGGCCCTTTCCTGATCAAAAAACCGAGGGAAAATTTTTTGTTGAGCGGGGAAAAGGGGAGACAGCGGGGGAAAAAGGGGAAATTCCCTAGGGGGGAACGTTTTCACCCCTGGAGGCCCCAAAGGGGAAAAAATTTTGCAGTAAATTTATAACCCACCACAGAACAACGGGAGGGCCAAGGCAAATATGACGAGAGCAATAGAGCGAGGTTTGGGACACCCCTGGCTGAAAGTGGCCGGGAAAGAAGTTCCATACATGCAGGGAAAAAGCTCCGATCATGGGCGACTTTTTCCAAAAGGGGAGACCCGAATGGGAAAATTTTGGGACCCACAGGGGGGCCAAGATCCCAGGGGAGGGCTAAGAATTGGGTTGGGGGGTGGTACGGGGGCCAAAAACTTCATTTTTACCAACACAAAGGGGGACACTACAAAGGAGAGGGGTTTAATTAAAACCCAGCAAACTTCCCCCTTAGATTCACCTTGGTAGGTGCCGAAAAAATGAGGACACACAATAAAAGGGCCCCCCTTGGGGGCCCCGGGGGATCTTTTGGGGGTTTTACCCTTCGAATACACAGAAAAAGCAAACAATTTGGAGGGGGAAGCGGGAAGGCCGGGGACAAAGAAACCAAACTACGGGAAAGGGGGAAATTACACGGAATGAGGAACTTCCGAATGAGGTTCAGGGGCCCGGGAAACTGCAGGAAACCATTTAAAGGGGAGATGAGGGAAATTATGAATACAATTTTGCAAGGAGGCTGAGGAGAGGTTTGTACCCAAGGGAAACAGGAATAATAAAAAAAGCCAGGAGGACCCATGGTTCACTCAAAAAATGCAAGGGGGGAAAAAACCCAAGTGTGCTGGGGAAATTGGAAAAAAAATATAGAAGGAAAAAGGGACCCAGGAGAAAAAGGGAGAGCATTTCGTAGAGCCAAAAAAACAAAATTGCACAGTTTAAAAAGGGAGGCCCAACGTCAATATGGAAAACGACATAGAAAAAAAAGCCAAATCTAAACCCGAATGTTTACAGCCACATCGGGAAAAGAAAACAAACCGTAAAAGGACCAGGTAATCGGGCAAGGAAAGGGAAAAGGGAAGGAGAGACAAAAAGGGAAATGCAGTAAAGTATGTGAGGAACCCCAAAAGAGATTCAAAAGAAGTGTCAAGAGGAACAAAAGGGGCTCCAGAAAGAAAAAAGAGGGGGGGGTTACACCCCCATGTGTGGACACAGTACACAAAAAACCCGAGAAGAAGTGAAGGGGTTTTCTGAGTGAGCAAGATACCTAAAAAGGAAATTTGGGGCCAGAAAAAACATCCCCCTCCATGGGTCCTGAGAGAGGGGCAGAGGAACTATGTGTACCCCTAAAAAAAATTTATTCAAAAACCTCTATAAAAAACAGGGAGATTGCCTGAGGCAGGGAAACACCCAAATGTGGTAAAAAATTTTTAAAAAAAGGGAGACGACATGAACACAAAACCCTACAGCCCCCCCCAGTGTCACTGACATTTTTAAAGCATGCAAAATCAGGGAAAAGTTTGGGTCGGGGAGAAAGAAGGGTGGGGGAAAAACTTAGAAAGGAATGATTCATCCCCCAGCAGACAACAGGGTTTTCAGAGACGGGAAAATCCTGTGTCACAAACCTACTGGAGTTCTAGCCCTGGTGACACAGTAAGACAAGAGAGAGAGGGGGTGGGGGATTGCTTTTTTTTAAGACTGCAAGAAGGCCTTTTGACACAGACCACACAAGAGAAAGGGGAAAAAAAACTGGGGGAAACCAAGCGGGAAATAACGGGGAAAAGTCGTCAATAAATCAGGGAATACTTGTCAAAAAGACAGCAGCGAGTAAGGTAGGGACGATGGTGTTAGAGTGGGCCCCTGTGCCCAAACGGGGTCCCACAGGGGCAGCCCTAGGACCGGTTGGCTGTTTCGGGTTATTTGTGAACGACTTTGGGGGAAGGGAAAATAAAACCCCCGAGGTGTCACTTTTTGGCAGATGACGGGGAAGGAGAGAAGATTTAATTCGACCCAAAGACCGGGCAGAAATAAAAGGGGATCTGGACAGGCTGCAGACCTGGTCCAGCAACTGGCTCCGGGGGAGTTCAATCCCACCAATTTGCAAAGTAATGAGGTTTGGGGGAAGGGCAAAGAAATTTGCAGAGGGGAGTCCCGTCTAGGGGGTCGGGAGACAACAAACATCCTAAAGGGGAAAAAAATTTTTGGGGTGATTTATAACACCGGGCCCACTTTTCCCCCTGAAGCGCACATAAACCAAAATAATTTGTTTGCATTTTTCCCCCTTTTTTGGGCGCCGGGAAAAAACCTTTAAAAGAAAAAGATTCGGACATCTTAATAAGGAATCTTCAGGCCCCTTTTTACACCGTGTACGTTAGGCCCATTTTGGGGAGTATGGGGCACCATTCGGGAAACCCCCACACCTACCAAGCATGTAAAAAACTAGAAAAAAAGTCAAAGGTTTGCAACAAGACTAGTCCCAGAGCTAAAAAAGGTTTATGCCCAATGGGGAAGAGGTTAAGGGAAATCAACCTAAACACACGGGAGGACGGGAGAGATGGGGGGGAACATGAAAACCCACTTACAAAAAAATGAAGGAATTGACAAGGTGGAAAAAGGGACGGGGAGGGTTCCAGAAAACGGGACCCAGTAAACAAGGGGACACGTTGGAAGTTGAAGACACAAAAGGAATAAAAGGGGATGTTGGGAAAAGTTTTTCTTCACCCACGGGAGTTTTCAGGAAGTGGAAAAATTTGGGGGGAAAAGCGATGTAGTGGAGTGGGGGTTCCATACATATTTTTAAAAGAAAGGGGACGATAAAGCCCCAGGGTTCAGGGAGAGTGAACCTAGTAGCGACCAGGAAAAAGGCGGGGCCAGAGCTTGGACTCGACCCCTCCCAACCCTTTTAAACTAGGTGGGGTAAAATGGGTAAAAGTACACAAAACACACAAAAACACACACACAAACAACACAACCACCACACACACACACACCCCAACACACACACACACACACACACACACTAACACAAAACACACACATACACATCCCACACCTCGTATGTTGCAGTTTTTTAAACCCCTCTACCAATGTAGTGTTCCTCTCGATCTTTTCTCCCTTATTTCTCCCTTTTTCCCTTTTCCTTATCCCCTCCCACACCAGGGTTATTTTCCTACTAGTAAAACTTCCTTTCACGGGTTCCCAAAGAACTGCCATGGGCACCACAATTCCTACTGCCGACCCGTTCCTTAACATCTAAAGTTTACTGTTTAAAATTTAAAAGGAATGTAAATTTTCCTACTAGGTTTAAGATGCACTACTTCCTCCAGACTCCCCAAAAGGCAAGGCAAAAATTTTAAGAAAGGACTCAGGGAAGTCCTGCGTCTACACACCCAAAGGATAGTTGGGGGTCAGGAATAAAAACTACGTTGGGCCTTTCCTGTACACTATTATTATTATTATTAAATTTTTTTTATTATTTTTATTAAATTTTTATTATTATTATTACATTAATTTTATTATTATTATTATTAAATTTTTATTTTATTATTTTATTATTTATTGAAAACAAGTGCCCAAACCCGTATGGGGCCCTTTAAAAATACACAGAAGAGAAAACAGTGCCCGCGGTTTTACCGGGTAAAAAGCAATTACACTTTACCAGCACTCACGCACTGGCCCCCACCCCCGTGCCTCTTTTCAGTTTTTTTTTTCCAAAGGGAAAAATCATCTCAGTTATTTTAAAGTAGTAACCAGTTACCCGTAATCTCCCGTAGTAGAAGTTTAACCAGTTTTCCGTTTAAACCCGTGTCCGTTGACTCAAAGACCCAAGGGCTTTTAGTCACGTCTTCATATTTTTGCTGAGGGTGACACTAAATTTCAAAAACCCCACTGCGGGGGTAAATGGGCCCCCGCCTAGCCAGTGTTACGAGTGGAAGCCCCAAAGGGGATTTGGGACGGGTTTGGGAAGGGCTCTGTCCACATAACGTAATTTAAAAAGTATAAAAAGCCTACGTGAGTATTTTTTAAAACCCTAATCCACGTATCGAACTCCCACATGATAAATGGTGTACCGCGGTGTGGAGCGGTTTACGTTTTTTTAAAGGGGAAATTTTAAGGCGTTTGAAAAACTGGGTTTTGGGGTGGCCCGGAGGGTCAACGGGAAAGCCCTCCCCTCCAAAAAACCCCCCAGCCAGCAGCTTAACCCTCCCCTCACTACCTACTACTTGCAAACCTTTTTCAGCCGTTCCCAAACTTCCCGGCTTAGTTCGTGTGCTAATTGCTTCATCTCCGAGGGGTTTTACCCCGGGTTTGCAATTAAAACCAGTCAGTAAGGGGAGATGGGGGAAGTGGGAAAGCCAGTCAGCCTATCATCCACCCCTTTCCCCCTGGGCATCCCCCCCGCTCCTCCGTGCTTTTTGCATCGTTACACGGGCTTCCAGTCATCCATTCCGTGGGGGAAGCCAGGGCAGCCAAAACCCCCCTTCTAACCCAGCTGGAGAGAGAAAATAAGCCCCCAGAAAAAGTAAACCCCCGGGTCCCCCTGAGGTATTGTCCATAAACGCTGGGGCTCCCTGTTGGATTTCTAAGAGTGGTTTTTTTACCATTCCTGTTTGGGTTAGGGGGTGGGGGGGGTTTTGACACTTCGTGGGTGAGTGGGGTACGCGGCAGCCCACCGCCCCCCCCCCCACCCCCCTCCCCACCACCCCCGGGGGGCCGGCAGTACCTCAGCGAGAGTCATAAACCCCCCCACTCTCCCCCCACCACCAGCCATCCACCCATAACCTGTGGGTTTTTTGCACCCTTGACCGGGCCAGGGAAATTTTTTTGGCTCCCCATAAAGGTCAAGAGATTGTAGCTGGGGCCAACCGAGAAAAAAGCCCTTATGTGAGTTCGCCTAGAAACACATTCTTCACGACAACAGTGAAAATTTGGGGGCCCTCATCACCCCCACCGCCGGGGGGGACAAAACCCTACACCCCCCCCACCAGACCCCACCGTCCGTCCCTACTCTCGATTCAGGATAATTTTTTGGAGCAATTTTTTTTGCATTTAAAAAACATTTGCGTGTTGAAGGGCATTTTAGTAAAAAATTTTTTGTGTACTTTTAAACCTTGTGTTTTTTTGTGGGAAACGCAGTATTTCTTAAACTCATATTTTTTCCCAAAATTTTTTAGTGTTTTTTACTTATCTTTATTATTTTTTTGCTGTGTTTTTTTTTTTTTTTTGCTATTCGTCGTCGTAAGTATTAATGTGTGTGTACCAATCCAAAATAAACCGTGTGAAAATGATTCATTTTTTTTTTATTTATTTTTTCAGCTTTTATTCTCAGTGATTTTTACCCCAGTATAAACCCAAATTTTTTCCATTTATTTCTATGGTGTCATTTTTTTTTGGGATCCAACCCGTGTTCATTTCTCAAATTTTTTGCGACTGTGTACCTTATTTTTTCCCGCAAATTTTTTTTTCGTTTTCATAAAAGCAAGATTTTGTTGTATCAGTCCCCAGCAGGATTTTTTTGTAAGAAAAATTTTTTTTTTAATGAAGTGTGCTCCGTCACGTAAGTGTTTTTTATTTCCCCCCCCTTTGTTCCCGTTTTTTTTTTTAATTCATCTTTTATAATTTTTAAAAATTCACTCGTGATCAATTTCAATTACTTTTAAAAAGTAAAAATGTTTTCTTTCTTGTTTGAGTAAATTGTTTTGTCTAATTTACAATTAAGATTTAAAATGTTCAATCAGTTTATTTTTTTTGATCTTCATAAATTTTAAACCCTTTTTTTACCTGGTTTTCCCCGTGACACTTTTTTACTGCCCGTGATTGTTTCTTTCCCTTTTTTGTTGCACTTGTTCGAAGTTTAATTTTTTTGTTGAACTGTTCTACAGTGAATTATTTTTTTTTATTTATATTTTTATATATTATATTTTAATTTTGTCTATGCATTCTTAGAAAAAAATTTAAAATTTTTTCCCTTAACAAATTTAAAAATTTATTGATACTTTTTTCATTTAAATTTTTAAAAAATTTTTTTAATTAATTTCTTTAAATAGGGAAG